GGGGCGGCCGGTTAGCTCAGTTGGTTAGAGTACAGTGCTCATAACACCAAGGTTGCTGGTTCAATCTCCATATGTGCCACAGAGCTGCGTCCTCCACAACTAGATTGAAACAACTATTTGACTTGGAGCTGATGGGTCCTGGAAAAACACACAGTTCCCCAATAAAATAAAATAAAAATAAATAAAAATAAAATAAAAGAAATTAAGAATACAAAATATAATAATACAAAATAGGAACTGGTAAACTTTTTCTTAAAGAATCAGAAAGTAAATATTTCAGGCTTGTAAACCATATTGTTTCTGTTGAAACTATTCAACTCAGTCCTGTAGCATAAAAGCAGCCAGACGATGTGCAAATAAATAAGCACGGTGTATTCCAATAAAGCTTTATTTAGAGATATGTAGCCACCCAGCAGGCTGTCGTTTGCCAACTTGTGCTAAATAAGAAAAATGCTCAGAATGTATTACATTATGTAGAAGAAAAATATAGCTCAGTAAATTCAAAAAGGTTGAAGACAAATGACAAGAAACTACTATCATGTTTGGTGAGAGATATAGTTAAGTGCTCAGTTTTTGCTATTGTGTGAAATAATAACAAATTAAAATTATGACAAGTGTGGCAGATTCTAAGGTGATCCCCATGATTCCCATTTCCTGGTATTCCTGCCTTTTCATAATTTCCTCTCTTGAGCATGGGTGGAAACTGTGCTTGGCTTCTACCTGACAGAACATGGCAGAGATTGTGGCATGTCATTTCTGTTATATAAGACGGTAACAACTGTCTTGCTAAGAGACAAGCTCCCCTTACTGGTTTTGAAGAAATAAGACGCCATGCTGTGAGATGCCCTATGTAGAGGCAGCCTTTGTGGGTGACAGCTAGCAAGGGACTGAATGTTACCACCAACCATCTGAGCTGGGAAGCAGATCCTCCCCTTGCCAGGCCTTCAGATGAGATCTCAGCTCTGGCGGACACCTTGACTGTTGGCTTGCAGGGAACCAGCTAAGCTGTGCCTGGACTCCTGACTTACAGGGTTGTGAGACAATACATGCGTGTTGCTTTTAAGCTGCTAAATTTGTGGTGATATTGTTACACAGCAATAGATAACTAATACAAAACTATACTCATAGGTAGTTGTAATTAATTGTCTAATAACATATTAGTCATCTCCTACTTCCAGAACTAAAATTATACAATTAATGCAAGAGATTAATGCATAATGTAAAGAGAAAAAATAATGCATTATGTCACATAACTTGTATTTTAATTTGTGACAACTCCTACTAAATCTTCTTGATGCTCAATATCTCTGCAAACAAATCAAGATCCTTTATTTAAAAAGAAGCTGTGTAAACTGTAAATATTTATGCCATCCCTTCACTTTTGATACTTTTCAGAAGTTCCAAATTTACTCATGTTCCAGACTTACAGAAAACAATTTAAATATGAAACATATCAAAGCCTATTGTAGTACTAAAGAATAAAATATGTTATATTTCTATCTTCACGGAGTGTTTGAGGTCTTGCTTCCCAGTGTATGTTGTCAGTTTAGCTCAAATAAACTTGTATGAAAAAAAAAAAGTCTATCTTCAATTTTTAAAGTAAATGTAGTGCTTCAATTTATTCCTCAGAAAATGGCCTCTTATGTATTCATATTGATTTATTTTGTAGTAATCAGACGGTTTAAAGTAGACATGCCTGGGTTTTCTGGCAGTGCTCACTATCTCTAGTTTCCAAAATGACATTGCTACAGAAACGGTAAATACACTACTCTGCAAGCCCAAACTCATGAGCACGTGTACACTTCTATGCAGGCAGAATTGCCTTGGTAAGTGAGTAATGCACGTCAAGAAAAACTGGTTAAAAAGTTGATAATCTATAGTGAAAAGTTATTCATGCAAATCATCTTTGTGCTTTACTTTTCTCTTACTTCTGGAATAAAAAAGTTCTTTGAGTGATAAGCAATATAGTCATATTTAGTTTATATTTAGAGCTATTCATTCATTTCCTAAGGAAGACTTTATCCATTGCACAAGTCGTATTGACTTGGGAATGGAGAAAAGTAGAGAACCTAGTAGGTAAGACTCCTGCTATTCCAATCTTTCCAAGAAATGTAAAAATACTTGCAAAGTTTGCTTTAAGGTTTTCTAATGAAAGCAAGCTAATAGATAAAAAAAGTAAATTTACCTAAGTTACACATGTTTTTTAAAAGTCTTACACACATGGAAGAAGATAGTAGGGCATAAATAATATTGAAAAGACTCAAAATAATAGCTTTATGGAAAGAATATAAAGGTAAGGCCTTTGGTTCATAACATATTCTTTTATTCAATCATTAATTTAACAAATATTTATTGAATACCTAGTACAGTATTTTGGTGAATTGACATTTCATCAAGGATAGAGTTTTTGTTTTTTTGTTTTTAAATCGGTGCTTTAGTTGTTCTTGAGTTTTTCCTCATTATAAAAAAATCTCTTTAGCTAGATCACCAAGTTCATTAGGCATGTGTTCTGTTTCCATATAACTGCAGACTACAATGTCACTAAGCTTTCTGCCACTACACAACAAGGACCCCCCTTCTTCCAGCTTTCAGTAACATGGACCTTACTTCCTTGTTGTCCTCATTGGCAGTGTCCTAAAAGTACAAATTTCTACTAACAATCCATGCATGGCAATTTAGGCTTTCTCTAATACGCTCCTCAAAATCCTCCTGGCCTCTGCCCACTGCCTGGTTCCAAAGCCACCCTCATATTTTTAGGTATTTGTTATGGAGCACTCAATTCCACAATACAAAAGTCTGTTATGAAAGAACATTGTCAATATTTGCAGAAGATGATTGCCGACTTAGAAAATTCAAGTGAATCTACAAAGTATTCAAAAATCACTGGTTATAGATCAATATATAAAAATCAATGACAGTTCCTTGAACTAGCCACAACCAGTGACAAAATGTAATAATAAACATATCTATTATGGTGCTAACTTATTATATTGTAATTATTTGCTTTACATATGTCTCCTACATAGATGCCAAGTTCCTTAAAGGAAGAGATTACCTTATTTATACTTGTAACCCCAAAGTCTAACACACACCTGAGTGTTCAATGAACACTTATTGAATGAATTATAGCTCATCATTGGATTGTTAGTATCATTCATAGATACTTCCTCTGGAGAAAAGAATTAAAATTCAGTGCTATAGATTTTAAATCATTATAATAATTCTCCAAAGTTTTGGTCATCAAAAAGAAAAGTCCCAGGTCCAAATGACAAAATGTCATTCTTTACCTTTTAACTGCTTGGACTGGTAAAGATTAAAATGTTCAATAATATGCAATGTTGTTAAGGGTGAGGATAAACTGCTATCCTTATAACTGTTGACTGAAGTATAAGGTGGTATGACCTTTTCAGAGAGCAATCTAATAATATCTAACACAATTTAACATGCCTCAATCAAGCAAGTCTGCAGCTAAAAATTTACTTTACAGATATTTACATGTGTATGCAAAGCTTATATATAAGATTTGCACAATAGCATTGCTAGTAATAGAAAAAATGGAATTACCCTGAAATTATTAGAGAATGATTTAAATAAATTATGGCATATTCATACAGTGAAATCCTATGTAGTTTTTAAGAAGAATGAGGTATATCTATATGAATGTTCATGGACTTTTATCTAAGATGCACTACGCTGAAAAAGCAAGGTGATGAATGTTCCCATGTACATTACTTATGTAAAAATATTGGGTTGTTGGAAAAAGTCATGATGCATTTTTGCAAAGAAAAACAGAAAAAATACGTTATGACTTTTCAGACAACCCAGTATTTCGATGGGATGCCAGGACAGTATTGTCTCTGGGTACGGGGAATGAGGAACTAGGACAACCTAATTTTTTCTACATATTTTGTATTTTATGTATATATTTATGTAAAACTGTAAATCATATTTTTCCATAAAGTCCTTCAATTATTCTTTATTTGCTAAAAGAGAAATGTTTAAAAATGCAACAGGTATCACCATTTCTAGAATTTAGTACAGGTCATTCTAAATTTGGAATATTGTATTCAGTTCTGTGTATAGGTGAAGAGAAAATGCCAGACCAGAATGTGACAAGAGAAAAAAAAGGTGAAAACCATGATACATAAAAACCATGTTAAGAAATTATGTCTGCTTACTTTGGAGAAAATTTGAGGTGATGAGTTAGTTTCAAATATTTTAAGAGTGTCACGTGAAAGAGTAGGTAGATTAATTCTGTATTTTATCAGATGACAAAAGTAGGAACAAAAATCTATTAAAAGTAGATAAACATTAATAAAAAGAACTTTCTAATATATCATAGCATTTTCAACAACAAAACATTGCTTTGTGAAATAGTAAGTCCTTTAAACTATATAATCTGTACTCAAATGTTTGATATTGGTCAAGGATTATGGAAAAATGAATGGTAGCTAGATAGGAGTTTTGATTATGTAACTGTCAAGACTTACTTTAATTCCAAGATTCTCTCATCTAAACTAAAATATAAGGCAAATGGAGTTATCAACGTATATTTAAATAAGAATCATTATACTTTTGAAGATAAACAAAAATATGATTGATGTTTATTTTTCTTTCAATAAGAATGACAAAAATCTGTGATATATACAATGGACTTAGCACATCAACTTCTCAAGTTAATCACTGTAATAATCCCACTCTAAATATAAGATTTTCCAAAAAAATCAATAGGCATTTAATTTTAGTCTTTTTTAAAATAACAGAGCACAATGCCCCACGAACATTTTTAAATTATAAGAGCTACATTATTAGATATACTGTTTATTTCAAGTTCAGATCAAGATTTGAATTTAAATTAGAACTTAAGGCAATTTCTCTTTAATTTACCTTAACTCCTGCAGAAAGATTAATACTTAATTTCAGAATAGGAAAACCCATAAACTCATTATGCACAACACAAAACTGTGATTGGAAAGAGCAAGTATGTATGCTATACTAACCGATTAGTAGAACTGTTCCAACAGCCAAGCCTCCACCTGGAAATAAAACAAAACCAAGAAGAAAATTAATCTACATTTTCACATTATCTTTAGCATAAAAGTTAGGCTTTAGTTAGGGCAGGTACTTCAATACCTTTAAAATTGCTGTTGAAAACAACATTTTAATTACCTTTGCAATACTTTGCTTAAGGTGCTATTATAAAATAATTACATATTATATGTAATTGCACACTACACATTATAATTACTTTCATAATATACTGCACTATCCTCCTTTCTCCTGTGATAAGACCATGTAGCATTCAACATAACTGTGGTTAAGCATTCCAGTAATGTTGTATGTAGTACTTGTTAACAAATTAACTCAATAGCCAAGACCTAAATGTGCACAGTAACTTAACTACTACAGAAGTACAACAAAGAAAAGAAAGTTTATTATAATAGAAATTCCATTATAATATTTATCTTCAAATTTAATAAGTTGGGGGGAAAAACCCTGATAATTAAAAAGAATTTTTTTTTTCATTTTGAATAACACACAAAGTCTGGACACGCTCTAAACATATTTAGAATTTAAAATGAATATTATTTTTGTCATTTCAAATAAAAAAGCCACACTCACAAAATACGTTGTTAATATTACTAGAAAATGTTCTTTTAAATATCTGAATTAGAATAATATGATCATGAACATGTAACTCAAATAGTGATTCGTTAAAATAAATTTAAAATCAAGTTTTAGGAAACTAGACATACACTAAAAAGATACAACTTTTGACTACTGATATGTTGTTTGTAAAACATTTGTAAAGTATTACTATTTGTAATTAATGTTGCAAACACTAACAAGTTCACTTAAAAATAAAATATAGGTATAGTAAAGGATGAAATGTACTTAAAGTATAATTTAAAAAGAAACTACTCAAAATTGTTGGACAATTGAAGACAATGTAACTAGAATTTCTGGGGGTTTTGGGGGGCACAAAATTGTGATATAAACATTAGAACACCAATAAAGAACTTTTCTCCAATAAAATTTTGTAGTGGCAAATGTTATACAGAAAATGTTAGTATGAAAAGTTCCTTTGATAGTGTTACTTTTTCGCCTTGTAAGTAGCATAAATGTTTCAAAAATTTAAAATTTGGTAACATACATGTCACAAAGAACATTTGGCAACTTTATGACTATAAGTAGAACATACTAAATTGTTAGAGAAGGAAACAAAAAAAAGAAACCAGCACATTTACATATTTTTATGTTTAAGTGGATTTGTTATAGGACTAAATATACGTATAGACCCCCCACTAACTTCTCAATCCACTCTGAACATTTTAAATCACATGTGTGAACTCCCTACTTTCCTTTACATGCAAAAATTAACATATAACTACCTAATCAGAATTCTGTGTATATTTAAGGAGATGAAATATAAGCACACAGACACTGCAGTGTCTATCTTAAGCAGGTACTATTTATAAAAATAGTAGCTGCCTTTCTCTCCTTAACCTATTTCTTATAGGAATAATTTAGATTTATCTAAACTTTCCTGGGTCTACATTCATGTCTTCTCAAGTTAGGAAATTATATAAGGAATAGAGAATTAAAGATATTTTGCAAATGTTATTCACAGTGGAATGATAGCAGATGAACAAAGAGTTTACCAATTACATGAAATGATACCTATTATAGTTCAGGTGTGTGGCTCAGAGAGGTATTCGGTAACAGCTATCCTTACTGTTCTGGCAATTATTTTCTGATTAGAACAAATCACTAAAATATATTCATATAAAAGGTGATCACCTTAACAGTATATCAGACTACGCTAAGAAAGTAATTTTCTGTGAGAATGATACAATTTATTGTTCCTGATAATTCAGAAAACACCAACTTTTAAAAATCTCTTGTACATTAAAATTCTAATGTTTGGAAAAGTTCAACATTAAACAACATAAAATGTGGACATTTCAATGACTTTTATCAGCCAATCCCATCAGGACTTTTCTTACAGAACTGCAAGTTTGTTTCTTTTTTTCTAATGGGCTCTATTACATAAATTCACTAGGCTCAAGTTAGGATTGGCTCTTAGTGAAGGTTGTTCATGGGGAACAAGACGAATTCACCTAATTAGTAACTATTTTAAATCAAGCTTTTATTCTAGGAATAGGATGATGTAAAACGATTTGACAAGTACATATACACACACATATAACAGCAAAGGTCTTCCAGTCTTCCAAATTTGATTTTAGTGTGACAAGGCCTCGCATTTCCCTGAAATACCTCTGTATAAGGTATTTTGATATACTGAGGTTTTAGCTGTATTTTAAACTAAAATAAGTTTGTAGCCATGTCCCCATTAAAAATTTAAAAGCTTCAACAACCAACCATGACAGGATATCGTGACATAATATATTCAACAAAAGCTAGCATTTAATGTATCTTTAAAATCAGTAACCCATTAATAATTTTATCTAATTTCAAAAGCAACACAGATTTCACACTTATAGTTCCCAATTAAAATAGAAATATTTTTCCCCAACAGTCCACTAAAATCTTTGACAGGTAAGTAACGAGGTAAGCAAGCAATCTTATTATTTCTATGATGAGACATACAATGGAGTAAAATGGTCTTGTTTACTGCCTCCTCTCCCCTTTAATTATGTTACAGAAATCAAGATACTTTCTAAGTCACTAAGCAAATAAACACTTGGTTTTACCTCTAGACCTTAACAAGCATATTTTTCTCCAGCTTACTAAAAATACAGGTAGACTATTTTATCATATAAGATTATGAGTTTTAAAGCTTGAAGATATTTTAAAGTATTAATTTCATCAAGATTTTACCTTTAAAAATGACACAGCATTTTGTCTTAAAACTAGAAAAAAATCTAATACTAAAAAATTGAGACTATTTGGGGCAGCCGAGTGGCTCGTTGGTTAAGAGTTGGCTTGGGACGCCAGCTCTGAGCAGCAGGGGCCGGGTTTGGATCCCACATGGGCCAGTGACGCTGCGCCCTCTACATCTACGATGGTGAACAACAGCTCGACCTGGAGCTGGGCTGCTGTGAGTCGCCAGTGACCGGGGCGTAGGTTGCAGTGGAGCTGCAGTGGGCTGCCATGAGCTACTGTGAGTGGCCAGCAGTCAGTGTGCGCTGCCAAGAGCCACTGTGAGAGGCTGTCTCGTGACTGGCAACGGCTCTGCCTCACCTGGGAAGAGTGCAATGAGAATACTAACATGGGCCAGTGAAGTGATGTCCTTCACAACTAGACTGAAGAACAAAAGGACAGCAACTTGTCTGTACCCCTCCCCCATTTCCCCAATAAAAATCTTTTTTAAAAAAATTGAGAATATTTAAGATCTTGTGATTAAGTAACAATATCTTATTTTATAAATTTTAAAATGAAGGAAAAGGTTTGTTTTTTAATTTGTGTGACTGTTAGAAAAATGATATCAACATTATTTTAAAGGGAGAAATTCAATCTCCACACACTTCCCAAAACAAATCTCTAATGAAGCTGTACCTTTTGGGTAAACAAGGTCAAATTAAAACATTAGAATATGAAGGCTCAGAATGATGCCTTATTTTACAAGATGCATTTCCTTTTCCAAAGGTAGAGAAAATAAAACAAGTCAGGAAAGATAATGGTGATTTATACCAGTCCTTTCCAGTGCTTTCTATAGGAATAGTTTTGCTAAAATTATACAAAGGCATTTTAGAGAAAATGCAATGTAAAAAACAAGTTCATATCCTTTCCTTGGTTCATAGCAATATTCTTGACTTAATTAATGCCACAGTTCAAACTAAATTGAGTTATTCCATTAATAAGTCTACTTTTTCTTCTCTCTCTAGGAGTTTGAAACATCCCGACAACTCTTGATGATCACAACTATTGGCTCAGCAAATATGGGAATCAAAATAGAAAAAGTGAGAATGGTTATGCAGATTAAATCACATGAAACAATTTTACATAGCAATACATAGAAATAAGCTAATTTTTCCTTAAGTGTACACATATTAGTTGCTAAAGCATCATAACCAGGATTATTTTGTAGTCCAAACTCAATGTACATCAACCCACACTCTAGATTAAGATATAGTGGAGCAAAGGAAATAAGCCCACCAATATTTACTTTTTGACATCTGTGTTGAAAATGGCAGCTACCACTAAACCTCCTTCTTTCTAGACTATTATTTACTCCAAATCTCATCTTCCATTCACTTGACTGTCAAAATTTAGTAAGTTCTGAACAGCAAAGAGGTTAAGTCAGTACAGCCTGAAGTTACCTTTCCTTCAAGTGTCTTTTTGAAGGATAAGGCTGGGGATAATTCCCCCAGATTAGACAGTATGGTCCTAAAATGTATTATACTTTATATCCTAGAAAAAGAAATTCTGTCAGAATCTTTTACCCTCTATAATCTCTTTTTGGAAATTCCTGGAAGAAAAATGGAATTTTTAAATATAGTGTCATCAAAAACAACATAGATTTCCTGGACGGGCAGGGTTGAGAATCTGGATTAGGAAATCGCAGAATTTGAAAAATTTAAATGTAGCCAACTTGGGAAGTAAGCTGTGGAAACATTAGCATATCATTAAATGACTAACATTCAATTAGCCTGTAGGCCTTTCAAATATACTTTGCATCTATGCTTAAAAATACAATGATGTCATAGTGGCAGTGGTAAAATATCACTGTACTGCATGGCAGTTACCATACAGTAAAGGACTTACTTGTTACACAGTAACCACAGAATTTATTTATGCAAAATTCACAATGTCACAGTATAGTTTAATCATCCTGATATCATAACATCCTACTATCATTACATTTTGTCACAATATGATTGTATGAGGCTTGTCACAATCTTAGTCAAATAACATTTTAGAGTAACAACATAATATGAATTGTTTATACCTATGTGTACACATATTAGCAGCCAAATCACTTTCAAATAAAGTTTTAATGAAAAACAAATGTAAAGGGTTTGCTCCACAGGGCCATACAAAACAGAACAAACATCAAAATACAAAAATGCCATTAAGAAGTTAACAACTAAAATACTTCTGCACATATTTGTTATTCCAAATGTAGTAACTCCTCTTACAACAATTTCTTCAACTTCTGGGCACTTTGAGAATTAACTATATACATGTAAAATATATTTCAAAATGTCCAAAAACTGATACTTATTTCAATCATCTTAATGAACACTAATCTTCAGCATAAGCTTATTATAGTCAAATGCCACAGTCCCCATCCCAAGCAAATCTGGAAAATTTTGAAATTATAGTTCAAGTTTATATCACTGTACAAACACATGAGGAAGTGGGTGCTTCAAGAGACTATAGCTAAATCATTAGTCTGAGGTTCAATAAATGGTTAAAACCACTTGAAAAGTTTTCAAAAATTTCAAACAGCTGTAGCATATACAGAACACTAAATTTGGAGCCTAAAGATCAGGCCAGACTGTCAATGGTTTTGTGACTCTATTCATGTTACTTAATCTCTGAGTCTGTTTTTAGAGCTTAAATACATAACTCTGTCCTATATGTTTCATAAACTTGTCCAGGCTTTTTTTCCCCATACATTATTTTTCTTTCAGTCAAGAACTTATGAGAATCTACTAAGTGACAGGAACTGTGCTAGGCACATTTTGTTATTCTAATGAGGAAGTAAAGGTATAACGTCAGAAATGTTACCTTTTTGTTTGGCGAGTTTCAGGATGAAGTGACTGAAATCATACATCCCCACTGAATTTATACACACACACACACACACACACATGGAACAGCTTTCAAGCTTTAAGTTCAAATATAGGATCATACTTAAGTAAGGCTCACAAGGGTAAAAAAGTTGAGATCAATATTTGCTTAGATATTCTGAATCATTTTTGTTTACAGTAGCATGCAATTTAGGAAGGCAACAGACTTGCAACTATTAAGTGAAAATACTTAAATTTATGTAGAAATAACCAGGATCCAGTTAAGGACATGAAATAACAGGCAAGAAACCATGTTCTTTCTCATAGGTTGCTTGTCTTGTCACTTTCCTTTGCACTAAACCTTGCAGAAGGATGCGGGTTGAGGAATTACAGAGAAAATGTCAAGTGATGTACAAGAACATGCAACGACATTTCTAATATTTTATGAAAGTGTATAAGATTTAACTGACACATATCACGGACTATTAAAAAGTTATGAAATATAAACGGAGCATTTTTAATGAAGCAGCATTCAGATAGGAACTAATTTTCAATCTTTATTAACACAGCAGCTCTGTCTCACCAACCTAATCTGGTCAATTCTTTCCATATGACAGCTATGAAACATGCATATTCTTTAACAGGCTTCTCATAAAAAACCCCCCAGAGATTACACAGGAAAGCCTAGGAACGGAACTTCTTTTTCTCGTTAAAAAGTGAATTAATTTTAAACATACCGTTTGGAATGTAACTCTGGGGGCAAAGTATATATATATATATAAAACCCCACCAAAAACATATATACATGCATTTAACGCAGATACGGTTATGACTGTCAATATCAACGACGGGCTATAATTACTTTGGATCCACATAAACCTTTAAAATCCATTGTCTTAAAGCCAATGTGATTTGTTTAAAGATTCAGAACCGGGAGATAAGCATCCTGGTGGTGAAAGGCGGGAAGCTACTTTTTGCAGCATTTTCTAATGAAGCCTCTCTCACGATGATACAAAGTTTTGTAGGTCAATCCAAACCATGAGCTACCTGGGGCTGGCGGGAGGGTGTACCCAGAGATGAAGAGGGGATTCTATAGATAAAGACCAAACCGTGTCCAAACATTAATAATTTCCTTTGACCAGGGTAAAAACAGGTAGGGATCCCGTGGCAATCTAGAAAAAGGCTGGTGGGCAGGAACCAGAGTAGAAAGTGGGGGCACTAAAACGGATTTAGTTAACAGCATTTATTAGTCTCCATGCAACCCTTCCTCCCCTCCATCTCTATCAGACCGGGCTATCCTCTCCACGTCCGAAGGCTGAGGCGTCAGAGAGTGATGTGGGGTCAGGGTGGCTCCCCCGGCAAGTCCCCTCCCTAAGTTTTCCCTCTGTTGAGCCCAGATCTCAGTTCTGAACCGACCTAAGAGCTGGTCCAGGGCTGGGAGCCCGGTTGATACCAGCAGCTGTCCGTTCCGCACCGACGGTCGTGTGCCCGCGATGGACACTAGTCGAGAGCCGCCGCTGTCGCTACTGCTGGTTCTAGGACCTTTCCTCTGGAAACTGGTGACGTTGTTCTTGCTGGCCGCCGCTGCCACAGACCCAGCACTCCCGCTGTCGGTGCCACAAGCCGCCACTGCCGCCATCTTGGAGCTTCCCACGTTGACCCAATAGGAAGTCTGGGAATTCAAGCAGCGGACCTGTCAGAGCCAGCCCCAGACTCCCGCCTCCTTACTCCACGGCGGCTCTCGTAGCCAATAGGAATGAGATGTCCTCCAGAGTCAACCAATCGCAAGACTTATTGCTGAAAAGTGCGCTCTACGTAAGGATGGCGGACTTCTGCGGGACCCAGGTGAGAGAGGGCCATCTGAGGCCTGGGTGAGAGTCTTCCCGGGTTCCGTGGGGCTGGAGGTGGGTAATATCATTCAACATTGCTCTCGTTTTGAGTGTCCTCATTCACGTAGGCTTAAAGAAAAGGTTGGTGGAACGATATATCAGGCTGCCACCAGTAGGACTTTTACACCTTTCTCGGCTCATCTGTAAAGAGGAAAGATACATTCTCCCGCCCCCTTCCCTTATGCTTTACGAGAGAAAATTCATTCCGCCTTCCCCATCAAGTCACTTTTTTTTTTAATGGTTGTGTTATATTGAAGGTTTGGAACTCTTACCTTAATGAGTTGCTTGCTGAGCATCTGGGGCGCAGGTCGTCAGTAGCAGGTGGGTTGAATTTAGACCTTGGAGTGAGAACTCTTTGAGCTTAGAGGCGATTTGGTTTTCCTCTGTCTCGAAGAGCAAATGACAAAATGTACTTCTCTGACAAGTCCCCATGAGAAGCTTTCGTTAACTTTAATTAGTGCTCTGGAAGTCTTGGAGCGCCTTTCCATAAGTGGTGTGAATGACAAGTGTTACTCTGACAGCCTTGTTCACACATTTAATTGTCGTTTGCTGTTAAGGCAGCTGCAAATAACAAAAAATACTTGAGGTTTCTTTCCTCCAAAACTGGTAAGAATTAGATATGTATGTACTTTCATTTTCTAGTGATTTGTGAACTCTGAATTGAGAGCTTTCTTAGAATAGGATTTTTATGTGCGGGGGTGGGATGGGGGGTGGACAATGTAATTTAAAGCTGTGTCTTTGGATTTAAAGTTTTCTCACCATTCATGGGGGGCGGGGGTCGGAGTAGTAAATGATTTTTTTAAGGCATTCATGATCGACAAATGTCTAAACTAAAAAGGACTCGTAAATCATGCCTGCATTACAAAGTTACTGGTTTTGACAGTGAAATAAATCCAAACATCATTGAAATCCTTGCCATTGAATTGTTTTAAACCTCAACGCCCCGTTAAAGCTCTGGCTGATTCTGTTTGATAAATTGAAATTACTATCTCTAAATAGTGACTGGACTTTTTCATTTGAGAAGGTCTTTATTTTATTTTATTTTATTTTATTTTATTTTTGTTTTTTAAAGAAAAATGTTTGGGGGAAAAACTCCATGTTGCTCTTTAACAATATATCAACTGGAAATCTTGATCAAGGTTCAGGTAATTTCATTTTGAATCTTTTGCCAGTATAAATCTGTAGTTTCAATCACACAGTATATAGCAGTTGAGTGCTTACTGTCTGCTTAGACCTAACCTTGCCATTTTAGGCCTATAGAAGTAGAAATATTCTCATTTGGGGGGTCAGTGATGGTGGTGATATGATTAACACATTGAAAACAGAATAGCTCTTGAACACATTCAACAAAATGTGCTAATTTTGTCTTGCAGTACATAAGTACTAAGAAGAGCAAAACAAAAAGTGATGTGCAGTCTAATATCAAGTAGAAACATCTTGGATATTTTCATTGATCTGAAAACCTTGAATTAGTACTACAAAGATTGAATTTGTATAGGTTTCTTTACTTTATATTCCCTTTTTTCCTACTCTGTTTACCCTTTAGAAAAGGTGATGGTGTGATGTTTTGTTTGCCTTATTACTAGAAATGAAGAATTGTTTTTCAACTCTATAATTCTGGAAGTATGACATATGCCCACTAAGGTAATCCTGAAATTAGGCTGTATATTTGGTATAACATGATCATAGGACAAATTAATTTAATCTATCTTAATCTTTTTTTTTTTAACAAAGACAAAACCTTTGCTCCCAAAGCAAATAATCCAAAATACTTGAATTTACCAGTATGTAGAGTTGAATATGAAACATTGGAGTAAATGAAGTATTTGTGGAAGGAAAGAGTTAAAGGGGTATATGTTTAGGCGTGGTGTTAATAATGATTGATAACAATTATTTAATTAAATTCCAAGGACTATACTAAGTGCTCAAGTTATAGGAGAAAGAATACTTAGTGTCTACCCTCCTTGAGTGCACAGTTGCAGGGATAGGTGGGTAAATAGGATAATAAAGTATACTATAGAGCCATGGAGGACAAATGTAGGATACCTAATTTGGACTGAGAGAAAGGAGTCTTGGAAAGTTTCCTCTGAGGAGGAAGCTTAACCTGAGTTTTGAAGGATGTGTAAAAGACACAGGAATTAGGAGAATGGAAGCCATTACAGAGAATGGGAAGACTGCTCCTTCAGTAAATCTGCTCTCATTGCTTCTCTGCAAGTAGTTATCATGATTTATAGAGTGCTTAAAAAAAGGGGGAAACTGGAGAAGTTAGAGAAAAGTCTAACTGATTTTCTTAAGGTAGTGAATTTTTATCCCCTTAAGGATAATGGGAAATCGGAAATCTTGACAAATTTTAGGTGAAAGAATGGCAATGATCATATTTGATTGTTATGTTTTGGCTAAAAGTATGCGAGAAGAAAATGGATTGTTTGAAAGTGTGAATGTGATAAAGAGAATATAAAGGGGTAGAATCGATATGATCAAGGAGGGTTGACAGGAGGAATAAAAGATTATTAACAGGTTCCTGCCTTGATCAGCTTTCTTGATAGCAGAGGATAAAGAATAAAAGAGGAACTGCAGAATTTTGTAGTTGTGATGTTGATTGTTTTAGGGAGTTGGAGATTATGAGTTTTAAAATCTATTTTGAATGTGTTTAATTGGAGGTACCAGTGCAATATCCAAGTGGAGATGTCCATACCCAGTAGGCAATGTAAGAGAAGGTTCTGTAGATGAAATATAGATTGGAAATTAATTAGCGCATGGTGGGAGTTTACCCCAGGGAATGGATAAACTCACCAAGGATATGTATACTTTAGAATGAGAAGAAAAAAGAACTGAGAATAACTTTGAGGAACATGAACATTTAAAAGCTGGGCAGAAGAACAGCAAGTAACCTAAGATTGGAAAGTGATTATTTGATTTAGTAATAATGGTTTATTTTGGTTTTGTTAAAGACAGATTTGATGGAGTAGTAAACTGAAAAGTCAAATAATTATTTAGAGTTGTATGGCAAGTGAAGTTGAATATTCCATAAAATTAGACTGTTTTACATTTTAGAAAGCTTTGCTGTGAAGGGGGATTGAGAGAGATGATAGATTTATGGGAGGAGTTTTGTTGTTAGAGAGAGAGAATGAAGGTATTGGAAAACAACTGTAGACAATTCATAAAGAAAAAAACCTGAGTGAAGTAGAAGGAATGCAATCTGAAGCACAGGAGAGGGATTAGTATTTGAAAGGAGGGGACACTTTAATGGCTAAAGGATGTAAAAGAAAATAAGGTTCCTTCTTTCTGCCATTAAATCTTGGAGTCCTCAAGACCGTTTTCTCTTTTTATTCCATAGTCTTATCTTCATCCACTCTCAGGACTTCAGTTACCATTTATGTACTATTGACTAGCTGTATATTATTGACTAACATTTATAGTCCATATTGCTTCTCTGACCTCTAGAATACTAAATTTAGATACTTTACCTGTTTCTTGAAAGGCTTAGTGGGACCTCAAACTCATAATGCCCCAGCCTGAACTTCCTCTGGTGACCATTTGTAGAATTAGTTGCCTAAGCTAAGGAACCTCATTACACTCAATTCCTCTCTCAAGCTTCATTTTGCCATAACCAGTCCATTACCAAGACCTGTGGAGTTTACCTCTTAATAGCTCTCTAATCCACTCTAGCTCATTTAGCCCTCATTTTTGGTTCTCCTGCAGTACATTTTCCATTCAAGAACTATCCTGATCTTTTAAAAATAGAAGTCTGATCATATAATATAAAAACAAAACTTCCTAAGGACCTGCATGTAGTTCCCTTTATCTACCTCTCTGGCGGTATCATTATAAATACCCTTATTCTCTGCACTCTGGCATTCATTTATTTTTCTGCACTCACTGTGTCCCTTTCTTCCAAAAGACCACTAGTTAACTTCTTATTGTTCACATCTCACTTCGACCTACACATTTCAATGAAGCCATCTCACCATCCTATCAAAATGAAATCAGCTGCTATATACCAACAATGAACAGGTGGAATTGGAAATTTAAAACACAATACAATTTACAAGAGTAGCCAAAATTGAAATACTTAGGTATAAATCTAAAAAAGCGTGCAAGGTCTATATGAGGAAAACTACAAAACTCTGATGGACTAAATAAGTGGAGAGATACTCCATTTTTTATGGATAGGAGAGTCAATATTGTCACGATGTCAGTTCTTCCCAACATGCTCTGTAGATTCAATGTAATCCTAATAAAAATCCCAGCAAGTTATTTTATGGATATTGATAAGATGATTCTAAAGTTTATGTGGAGAGGCAAAAGACCCAGAATAGCCAACACAGTCTTGAAGGAGAAGAACAAACTTGGAAGGGTGATGCTACCTAATTTCATGACTTACTCTAAAGCTATAGTAATCAAGACAGTGTGGTAGGGCAAAAGAATGGATAAGTGGAACAGACTAGGGAGCCCAGGAATAGACAAGTATAGTCAAGTAATCTTTGTGAAATGAGCTAAAGTAATACAATGGACCTAAGATGATCTTTTTAACAAATGGTGCTGGAACAACCTAACATCCAAAAAAGAAAAAAAATCTAGGCACAGACCATACACCCTTCATAAAAATTAAAGTGGACCACATACATAAATGTAAAACATAAACCTCCCAGAAGATAACGTAGGAGAAAATCTAGAGAACCTTGACTATGGAAATGCTTTTTTTACATACAACAACCAAAGACATGATACATGAAAGAAAGAATAAGCTGGACTTCATTAAAATTAAAAACTGCTCTGTGAAAGACAATGTCAAGAGAATGAAAAAAAATGCCACAGACTGGGAGCAAAATATTTGTAAAA